AAAAAAAAAAAAAAAAAAAAAAGAAAGAAAGAAAGAAAGAAAAGAAAAGAAAATAGGTGTGAATGTTCATTTTCGGCATTTTACATGTAGCCATCCAAAAATGTGATTTGGTTAGGTCAATACATGTATTTACTAATCCATTTCTGATCAGTTCCTTTTTTGGCAGTTTGCCTTTAAAACGTAACTGCAGCCCTACCACCCTTCCACTCACCCAACCCTACTGAGGGGAGCAGGGATGGCACAATGGGGAGAGCACTTGCCTTCCACCAATGTGGCCCGGGTTCGATTTTGGCCTGGTGCTATACATGTACGTGGGTTCAGTTTGTTGTTGCTCCCAGGATTTTTCTCCAGGTACTCCAGTTTCTCCCCTCCACTGACAAAAACCAACATTGCCAAATTCCAGTTTTATAGATGAGCCACATGAAAACCAGTTAAGGGTGATGTGGCTTCTTCTCTAAATATTGCATTTTGTTACATGTATTTATTTTTTTACCACAAGTATAGCTGAGTTAAATTTTAAGAGTGATTACCTGTAACTGCTGCCACTCATCATTTGGTTCGTCATCTGTACATATGCCCATAAAAATTAATAATAAGTCATTGCAATATATTTTAATTATTAAGGCCTTTAGAGCAGTTTTCATTTGAGTGTCGAAAAGTAATTGGTTTTGCATCAACTACACTACATGATTGGCTTGAAAAACTCGCACCACTTTTTCATCCAATCAGAAGTCAAACCAAAACCAATTGTCACTCACTCACACAGGTTTTCCTGCACTTTGCGTCAGCTACATGTAATTACTTTGAGCTTTCATTGGTTCACTGGATTGTCTGTGACCTTTGTGATTGGCTAAAGTGATAACTCTGCTTTCTGGTTTTACCATGCTCAATTGAAAAACGCTCTACATGTGTACATGTACATTGTAAATCGACCCAATCAATGGGTCAAGTAAGAGCTCTTGCAAGGTCCGACATGAATGGCTGGATACCCTTTGAGAGAACAATAGAACAAACAACAGAAACAATGCACCTAACCCAAAAACAATAACAACTATACACTATGATGACATATAGAATTAAAAGTTTACGAAAGCTGCTACACTTCTGCAATCAACAAGCCAATGTATGGTGATATCAGCAAATCACAAGGATATTTAATTACTGAAGATGATGCAAACCGATTGCTGGATATACATGTACTAAATAACCCTGGAGATAATACCTAGAGATGAATTGAAAGCCCAGGAATGGCAACTACAGGTGCACATGTATACAATAGCAGGCAATAACAACCAAATGGAGGGATACCATACTACAGTGTAACATGATACATCCCTTGTGAAACCAACAAATCTCATGTAAACCAACCAAACCCAGTTGATCTTAGCCAACACTAGCCTTTTAATAGTCCCAACATAAGGGAATACTAAGGATATTCATGTGTCCTTAAAGATACATATACGAAACACAACAAGGGATAAAAAGAAATCCCGCAGATACTTAATAACCAGTTACATGCCATAACACCAGAATATTGCCTAAAAAATTACATTACATGTGCATGCAACTTTCTTCATGCACAATCTAACACGTCTTCAACACCTGCGATTTGAAATGTCTAATGACCTTTAGAATGTTGGTGTGTCACAACAAGTTTAATGAAATAGAAGAACTGTAGCCAGGAAAACATATCAAAAATTTAGAAAATTGTTCACTGGCTATATAAAGTTAAAAACTTTTGAGCTTTCAGCTGTCAGACTACAGCCTTTGATGGATAAAAATAGAATTGACAACTAGGAGTATATACAAAAAGTCAACAGTCAACTACCTTCACAAATGAAGTGTTCATGTGATAAAATGCTTCTTGACTGAGTGAGGTTACACTAGATGGGTATAATACATGTACACTGTATTTGGTTCTCAGTCAAGAAGCACAGACCTCACTGTACTCGAGACACAGAGGTCTGTATGTCCTGACCTTGGGCCAAATGTTTTCCTGTCTATTCCTCCCACTCAGTCAATAACCACACAAATATTTAGAGGCTTCAATACACATGAGGTTTTACCTGGAAACAAATGTTCTTGCTCCATTTCTCGTCTCTGTCTTCTTGTTCTCAATCGTGACAATCTACTGGTTCTGTTAGATTCCATCAACTCTTGCTACATTCCAGAAAAGCGAAAAATTATTACTAGCTTAAATATAATCATGTGAAATAAATCAAAAAGCAGAAATAGGTAGATGTGCGTCTCCATGCTTGGAGGCCCAGGGACAGTCAGTGGGGCAAGGGAAATTTGAAACGGCAGGGAAAAATTGGGAGAGGAAAGTTGGAGGAAGGGTGAAGATACCCCACCAACTGCCCCAGGGCTCCAGAGGATGGAGCATCTCCTTCACAGATGAACCGCAGTTGTTTTAAAGAATCAGAGAAGATGACCATGTGACAAGCTACACATGTACCAGACATTGGAAGACATACAACCTCTCTGTGAATTATACATTTTTATTTATTTTGCATACAAAAAAAAATGTACATTGTACATGTCAATGCTTAAATATCAGAGCTAATTTCTAATTCCTGAAATTTTGTGGTAGGGTCGTACAGCCACATGTAGATGTTGAGAAAAACATTATGAAAACAACCAGTGCCTAGCCTCACTGAAGCACTCAGACCTTCATTTTGGCTGTTTATTAACAGTTAAATCATTGTTAAAGGGACACCTTTTCTAGTTAAGGACTTTAGCTAAACTGTAATTAGAAAAAGAAAAAAAAATTGGAGCAATTTACAAAAGAGTTAAAGTTGAGCTCTTTAACTCCTTCACAACTGTAGTAAGCCATTTTGAAGAGAATTCTACGGGCCAGTGTTCTTGGATTTAGCAAAACTGTGCATGGTAATTGCTATTAACTGGATCTGGCTGCAGTAATGACAGTTTTTCCGTGTGCCTTCACGTATAGGTTGCATGCCTGGCCACAAAGCTGCATTTATCCATTGTGCGACTTATTCCCCAGCATGCATGTCCCTTAGACACATGCTATTTGTGTGGCTCCCAGTCTCTCTCTTCCTTTGTGCATGTATTTACATGTCTTCTCGGGCAGACCAGTTGTTTTCATCTTGGACAAATATTCATTATAAAGGCAAATATAATAAACATCTGAGCTTTTGTGGGAAATCTCCAGGTTTCATTATGTGGCTAACAACAAGATCTGAAGTTCCCACACAATGCAAAGAAGGCTACAAAAGAACAACAGCATGACACAGAGTACCGGTATATGTGACGAATCCCCAAAGAAGACTTTTTTAAACATCAGCATACCAAAACGACACAACAAATATAGCTTTTTGTTGTGTCACCAACAAATTAATTTCTGTTACGTGTCATTAAAGATGTGTACATTATTCATCGTGGTGTAAGATAGGATAGATGAATTTTTCACTCGTTTGTCTCACGATGGAGAGAAACAATTGACCTCATCGCCTGATGAAGACTAGCAGTATAGCAGTCGAAACGTCGCGATCTACATCTCAAAGTGACTCTATCGTGAGACAAACGAGTGAAAAATTCATCTATCCTAAAATTAATTTCTTTTTCGATTTTTGCCCCCTCAGCTGTATAAGCTTAGTTTACACTAAGAACTCGCTTTCACTTTGAAACTTGTAGCGAAATGCCCTTGAAATGCCCTATTGAAGCTGAAGAGGACGATTCCGAGAGTTCTTCAGAAATATCACTTCTGCTTAACAACCTAATATACTTTGTCCATTTTGATACTAACCGTATTTATTTCCTCAACTTCATCGTCTTCATCATCGATAATTTCAACTCGGTTACTCGAACCACCTCGACTGAGAAAATCTCCCATGCTTCTCTGAGCTGCGTCTCGACGTTTTCGACTCATCTTTCCACGTCAGGCCCCTTCCGAGCCATTCAACTTTTAGCGCACAGATTCACCTTCCCAAGACCGATTTCTGGAGCAGTGCTAAAGGCGGCCGCATGACGAGAAACAAAGGAACCACCCATAAACATCATTTTGACCTACCAAGCGAAACTTCGCTCAGCAAAATCCAAAATGGCGCGCAAAGGTACCACGTGACTACCGCAAAAAGACTGGGTACGAGACAGAAGAGTAATGGCGGAAAGAATGTGGGGGATAAAAGTGTGGTGTAATACGTGGTACAGAAGAATTATTACGCGATCGAGAAATCTTGGAATTCTTTTAAAATACCATACAAATCTTTGGAGGTAAGTTGATGCTGGTTCATTTGAAATGGAACTCTAATTTTACTATACAGCATGCTGCAACTGCACAGACCCAGGGTGTCCAATCAATGAAATCGATAACCGATAACGATCGATACCATTTAATATCAATCGCTATCAATTAATCGATTGATATTGATAATCGACGAAGAGAGAATTACCGGTATATAAATTGACATATTTGATTTCCAGAATATGGCAGTAGATGTTGATTGGTATTGACTGAACTCGGGGGGAGGTGGGGGGAAGGGGGCGGTAATCCCTTATTTGGCCCATATGGGTCCAATATGGGAACATGCTGCTGTATGGGGTATGTTTTTTTGCCTCGCTGTCCTGAACAGGGTATACAATCTTACTCGCCTTTTCCTAAACAGGGCCAGAACCTGTCTTAAATGGGGTATGGTTGCATGATCTGTGTGAGTTTAGCCTACGAGCACCCCCNGTGAATAGCGAGTTTGTGAGTGAAGCAATCCGGCAGGAGGAGTCTGGTGCAGAAGCATCAAGAAAGTGAGCCTACCTTAATTTCTGTCTGTGCAGAGATGCAATAACTGGATTTTAGATGCATATACCTGCCAACTCTCACGCATTATGCATGAGTCTCACACCTGCGGATCTAAAATTGTGATCTCATGCATTCAGACCAATTTCTCACGCCTAACTGACAGTAGTGAGTGTAATTGCTTAAAAANTTCATATCTTGGTGGTGACCTGCACAGGAGATCAGACAAAATTATTCTATATCCAGGAGACTCCTGGATAATCTGGGAGAGTTGGCATAGATGCATTTGTACTGATATTATTTTCTCATCAGTGGAGAATCGAACCTTTTAGAGTGATTGCAAGTGCCTGACCCAAAAACAAAGCACAAATGAAAACCATGGCCCTTGCTTTCAAGTAGACTTCTGGATGCAGTTATGAGATGGATTTAGCCATTGTGCTTTCCATATCTATTCATGAACGTTTCTTAAGCTCCTATTTTCTGCTCACTATGAAGACCTTTCCCTACTCTCTCCTTTCCTGATTTCATCGACCAAAACAGACTGTATTAATTCATTTATTCATCCATACTGAGCACATTTATAGTGTCAAGTTTTATTTTTGTAGGTACAATTCCCAGAAAGCTTTGGATGCATTTCTCAATGGCAGACCACAACAAAGAACAAGTGTACCATTCATGGTAATTATCTTAGTGAGCTTTGGATTCAGTGTAACTGTTGTTTCTCATTGCACAAATATTATGCATTAACTGATTCGCTTATAGACAACGATCTTGCACGTGCTGCTCTCAAAACTGAAAATTATTGTTAATTTTAGGCTTTAAGGAGCTCAGTCAGGTATTTTGAGTTATTTTGGCCACAAAGAAAATTACCTGTAAATTGAAGGAAACCTGA